TAAAAGTAGCACATATTACTGTAAATATTAGCACTTCAGCTGCATGATTACGTATATGTGAGATCAAGGATGAGTTCCCTGAAAATGTTTTATTACATAAAGGACAAGATACTAAGTCCACCTATGGGAAAAAATTTTGTGCAAAAAAGGTTTGTTTTAAAATTAAAGAAAAAGAAAAGAAACATTCGATAGAAATATTTTTGTTGTTTTTCTGATTCTGATTTCAAATGGATTTTGTAAATAGTGTTTATCGTCTATTTTTTTTTTTCTTTTTTCTGTACACATTTCGAGATTTCATTTAAATCATCATTTGCGAACACTATTTAAAATCAACATTTGAAAATAGATTATCATTCTATATAAAAATTTTAATTATTTTTATATATTATTTTTTGTACAATCAGAAAATGCAAGCTTAAGTCGTTGATTTTTGTTTTCTTACGAATTTCTTATAAATCTCCAATGAGATTTGTTTGCTAGAGAAACCCAACAGTTTCTCAATTGAAAAGAGCGTCCCTATAAAATTATAAAGAAAGGAAAAAAGGAATGTTTGCACCATTTTTAATATGTAGATATATGGATTCTATATATCGTCGAAAATCAATTATGAAAACGTTTTAAAAGGGTTCTGAATCGAATCGAACATAAAACTTTTAAATTTATTATTTTTTTTTTAATTTCATATTTAACTGTTATAGATTAGTATGACAGTTAAATGTATCCAATGAATTCCAGCATTATTAAACCTTTAAATGTATTCAAGACAAAATATGGCACAAATAACGTCTCAATTATTATATAAACTAAACTTCCTGTAACGTTCACTTAGTTGTTGTCAATTTTAAATCAATCGTTAAAAAATTCAGGCAAAGTGTTTAAAAATGGTGCAGACAGAAAACACAAAATAGATGAAAATATAAACAAAATCCACTTGAAATTTACATTTAAAAAAGTTAAAAAAATATATTAAAATAAATTAAAGAAATTTAAAAATTTAAAATTGGATTGTTAACTTTATATGACATTTACAAATTTCCAAAATTTTCAACCTATGTTGGGGAGATACCAGAATGGGTAGACCGGGTTTCCTTAACATTATATTATAAAGTATTGTTTAACAATATTTTGGTCATTTTGTGAAGAAAGTACCAGAAAGTAATATCTTCGAACTCGATTTATGTTTGGAAGAAATTAGTAACTGCCCTTTAGCTAGATAGAATAACAGACGGGCATTTGTAAATCGACTCAAAGTTGTCTGAAACAGATTTGGTCCAAAGAAACTTGGGGTCTACAACCAATATTTCGATCTAATGAGGGTATATACCCTACCCTCATTAATATATATTATAAAAAATTAAAAAAAAAAAACATATAATAAATTAAGAATAAATAATTTTAAAAAATTAATATTACATAATATTAAAAAATATAAATATCCTCGTTGGAAACTGTTTGCAAATTAAAATTTCTTAAATCATTTATATGCCAGTAAATGTAAATAAAATTATAAATTTAATTTCTACAATTAGTTTCTAAAATAAAATTGCCCAGTTTAAACTTACACATAATCAAATAAATATAAATTATTAATAAATTTACAAACTAAGAACAAGACTTCAATGTAAATACAAAAATATGAAACAAATATATTAATAAAAAAATTAAACATTAATATCTCCTAAACATATTTTCAAGTTACATTGTAGATTTTTTCTATCGTATTCAATATAAACCAATGTTTTTCAATTCAATTATTGTGCGATTTCATTAACAAACTGTTATACATTACTTAATTTAAAATCAATTATTTTTTAATGCGTTTAAAATACACAGCAGCCAACACTGGTTTAACTGTTATACCAAAGCCAACACTTTGGATTTCTATTTATTTAATAAGTTTTATTTCATACCAAAGCCAACACTTTGGATTTTATTTTATTTTTTTCGTTTCTTACACTTCAAACCAGCCAACACTGGTAGGGGGATTCAGCTCAGCTTGTCTAAAACAATTTAATTTTTTTAACTGTTATAAATATATAGGGAAAACCAAAGCTTTCCGATTTTTTTAGTGGACCAGCCAACACTGGTTATTAAATTATTATTATTAATAAATAATTAATAACAAATATGTTAAATGTTATTATTGTGGCAATTGTTAGTAATATTTGTTAGAAACCCATCACCAATTGTTAGAAATACATATTAAGTATATACGAAATGTTCTTTGGAGAAAGAAAACATGTTTCATTTGCTGAAAACCTTGTAATAGCTGAAATATTATGGAGAAACTTTGAATTTGTTTTAAATAATTAGAAATCAACTAATGTTTTTAATTAAATTTTAATAATTTAAAATTGTTATTGAAATATTTAATATTTATATTGTTGAATTTATAACGATTAGGATCATTTTACAAGCTGTTAAGAGAAGTTTCAGGGTCATTGTTGAGAGACCGTATGTTAAAAATTCTAAAATATTCATAAAAATACAAATTCTATACACGATAATCATTTAATGGGATTTTCAGCTAAAAGGATCTGAGTATAATTTGAGAATAATTTAGTGAACAGATAATTCCACGAAATTTCAGTATTGAACCTTCGATTCTCTGCTTGAAGTTTAATTCCATAATCTGTCCACTTGGTAGGGGTTCTGAACATAATCATTACTAAAAAGGACACTGAAAAACCTCCGTCCGAAGTGCTAATTGCAAAAAATTATATTATTGTATCGAAGATGTCTATACTATTCTATTTAAATTAGATTCTGTCGCGGAGTCGATGTTTATATCACGCACAAAAACTATTGTTTTAAAAATGTGATACTGTCGCGTAACCGGGAAGTGACCGGCGATGATTTTGCAGCATAGCATTTGAATTTTGGAAGCCAATATTTAAGGAAGAATGATCTTTTCTATTGTATTAATTACATTTTGGTAATCAAAATTTCAATTTCCGACTGGGACCTAAACATGTCTTGTTCCCCGATCTATAATAACACATGAATCTAAATTGACAATTCGTTTTGAAATTTAGGGTGAAAATTTCAAAATACTAAAAATCGATGCGTGATGAATGGAGATTTATTAAAATTGGGTCCATTAGGTTGAAAAATGTCCCTAGTACCTTTTAAATGCCTTCCGAGACACCTAAATGTCAAATTCCAGCCACTTCGGTTCAGAAAACGCATCCTCACTATTTAAAGTACCTAAAACGGGGCGGAACCATATAACAGAGACTACGTCAAACAATAGGCCTACATTGGAGGGAGGTTCATTTCCCCATTGAAACTCGATTTGATAAGCTTCTGTGGGGAAATTTGTCTAGGAGAAGAAATACATAATTGCAGCCAATTCGGTTGAAAAATTCGACTGAAACCTTCAAAACCCCTAAATACACCCTCTGAAAACCAAACATTCCAAACTCAAGCTAATTTATTTGGAAAATGTCTAGGAGCATTAAAATACCTAAGAAGTGAGCCCTTTAAGAACCTGCATTGCCTAATTATAGCCAATACTGTTGGAAAATCCATCAAAATAAATAAATAAAATAGGTGGGAACCGTTATATAGGCACTGGTTTCAATTTTAAATATTCAAAATACAAAAAGCTCACCGGCACCAAACTATGGCCCTTTAACGCAAATTTTCTATCAGGAGGTCTCTTTTCCTCTGAGAACTCGATTAGGCTAGCTATCGAGCATTAACATTCCTAAAATGGATGCACACCGGCCACTAATTTAGGTTTGAACAGTTATATGGGGCCTTCAAATTTTTTGTCAGGAGGAATTTTATCATCAGAGAACGCGATATGTGAAATTACTGACACTTAGCTTGCAAGCATTAATGCTTGCAAGCATTATGTCAAAACATGGACCCATATAGTTATCCAGACTATAAAACTCGATTTTGTACAGGCGCTTTGATTGCGAAATTTAAAATTCTGGGTCTCGCTCCAGAGGCTACATTTTCCAGATTCGATGTAAACCTAGAGAACATTAGTTTCAGAGATATGCATCCATCCAATATAAACCGCAATGTCTAATGCATAATATCATATACTGGGTCCATATTACCCAGAAGACATTACTAAGATTCGATAAAGTAAAAAAATTAATGTAAATGACCCCAATCGTATAAAAACAAGGATACATATTTTCTTTTATAAATCGATTAATTTTTATCATTTTGACTAACAATTATGTACTTTTGTAAATTATCCAAACTGTTATACAGTCAAAAAGTGATTCTAATTATTTGAAAGTTCATATTTCACATATAAATGCTTAAATACGCTTCATTTTCGGAAATTCGTAACTGTTATACAAACTGTTATACACTTCAAAAGTGTTGTAAATTACTGAAAATGACGTATCTCATCTAGACATGCGAAAATATGTTATTTTCTTTAAATTCGTAACTGTTATACAAACTGTTATACACTTCAAAAGTGCTATAAATTATTTAAAATTACGTATTTCACCGAAAAATACGAAAATATACAATGTTCGTTAAATTTGAAACTGTTATACAAACTGTTATACACTTCAAATTGAGGTAATTTCGTTGAATATGCCACTTTTAACACAAATAATTTATTACACATACGTTTGAATGCATGTAATAACTGTTATACAGTGTGAAATAAGGATTTTTTCATTGGATTTCGAGAGGGATAATGAATTTTTTTGCTTTGTAATTCATTAAGGTATTGATATAAATTATGCACCTGTTTCTTTAAACAGCTAGGGGGACTATATTTTATTCCAAGCGTTACTGGCCGATTTGAAGGTTTTTCTGTTTTTTTCTACCGTTATTTTTGAAAAAAAGTGATTATTTTACGCACACGTTTTTACCGAATTTGAATAAATTTTTTAAAAACCGTTCTCTCTTGCACCTTTGTTGTGCGACGACGAAAAGCTTAAGCTTACATTTTTTTGGGATTTTTTGAAAGCAATATAATGTTTCTACAATAGTTTTATACAAAAACAAATAATAGGTACATCTAAATGTTGTATGGTCTTCTCCAATTCATAGGAGGACATGGTGATTTGTTGTAATTTATTTTTAACACCGTTACGTGGACGGCGCGTTGGTTGCTGTTGCTGTTGCTGAACTGTCTGCTGCAGCACCAAATTTCGTAGTTGCAAAACAACGCGGCGAGAGAGCCAATTTGTAATGTTCCATTGTTAGAGAGTCGAATTTAAAAAAAAATTGAATAAAAAAGAGAGTAGTTTTTTAATTGAGAGAATGCAATTCGTTGCCGTAGTCATCGTCGTGTCGGGTTTGATGGAGCCGATTTTTTATCGTTTTCGTTTTTTTTTGCAATGATTAGAACAAAATCAAAATAGTTTTTGTGTTGTTGTGCAGGAACAATTGGGAATGAGGGGGGTGGTGGTGTGTATTGGCGGGGAGGGTGGTAATAAATAGTTGAATGTCCAAAGGATATAATAGAAATATCCGTTAGGAAATAAAGCAGCATGTGTAGAGTATAAGAAAAGCAAAACAAAAACAAAACAGAAAATCATTTCAAAAGAGAGAGAAAAAAGAGAAGAGAAGACAAAAAAGAAATTCACTCGTTTAGATAAAAAATATTACAACATATTATAACACAATCTTCATCATCATCTTCTTCTTCTACGTCGTCTATGTGATAGTTCGTGGAGATTCACAATTTTGGGGGGTTCGGTATGTTTCTTTTTCAAATGAGTTTGGGGGGAGTTTAGAGACACACACTTGTTGTTTGGAGCATTGGCGTGGGAAGAGTACAGGGATATGGGGGAATTTAGAGGATAGGATTCGAAAAAGGATGTGGAATTTTGAAGGTGTTGGTGGTTAGGTTAAGGTTTTGTGGCAAGTTCCAATTTCATTTTTTAGAGTCTCGCCAACAGCTCACCAATAACTCCAACAACAAGAAAAACAAAACGTAAAAAAGTGGGTGAAGAAACAACGAACATCAAACACTTACATCTTCTGAATCGTCCTGCGACTGTAGACTATTTGTTGAATTTGTGGAATTTTGCAGTTGCTGGTGTTGTTGCTGTTGTTGTTGCTGCTGCTGGGTCTGCTGTTGTTGTTGTTGCTGTTGCGTTTGTTGTTGATTCTGCTGTTGCTGTTGTAATTGCTGAGGCATTTGCTGTTGATTCAATGCGTTCGAGGAGTTGGTGGTACTGTTAACCACAGCGGCGACGGCGGCGGCAGCGGCTGTTGCAGACAAAGCCGGTTGTCCGGATGCAGCGGAGGCAGCTACAGATTGATAAAAACCATTACCGCTATTTGTCAAATGTTCCGAACACTTCACACAGGTGGGTATATTATAGCCGGGAACTTGAAACAACTGCAAACAAATTAAAAATTTTAAACAATTTTTTCATCACAAGAAAACTGTCATAATTACAAAATGATTTTTTCTCTATATTAAAATCTAAAAAAATCAGTTTTATATTTTTCTTTGCTCTGTGTTAAGCTCCTCAGAAATATATACTACTTTAGCCCTATGCGGCTTTAAGGCTACTAAGGGAACCAACGGCAAAGCATGAAAAAAATACATGGCAAGCTAAATGAGAAAAAAGCGCAAAAATGAAAAAAAGCAAAAATAAAAAAAAAAGAACAGAACAGAACAAAAAAATAAACACATATTAAGACCCAACATACATGGTCGGTTGGTCGGTCAACTGCTGGAGCTTGGCTATGGCAGTAACAACAACCACACTGCCATCACCACCACCACTGACAGCAAGAAAAATGAGAAACAGAGGAACACAGAAAGAAAAAAAAAACAAAAACAAAAAAATAATAATATAAAAAATCTACAACAACAACCAAGGCGCATAACGAACTCTTGTTGTAAGTTTTGTTTGGTTATCTTTACATCTCCGAGTCCCTGCCATACCATAGGAACCCCCCCCTGTCCAACTCCCAAACCCATCTCAACAAACCCATAGTAGCCCCCCTCTATTATCCGCACTATTCACTCACAACCTCACCTGACTCACTCCACCACCACCACCACCCTGCCAATGCTAGCTCTTTTGGAGAAGACAAGTTGGATAAAAAAATCGACAAAAGCACAACAAATAAAAAAAAATTAAAAAAAAAAATAATAATAAAAAAAAGAAAAACAAAAAAATAAATAACAAGAACACAACTCATGTCAAAGCACCAAGTAAAATTAAAAAATAAAAAATAAAAAATAAAAATGGGTATCTTGAACATGGCCAACCAGTAAGTGAGTATCGCATCGTATCGTCGTAGTATAAAGTTAAAATCATTCATTTGGAATGTAAATCTTAGGTATTATATCCTTAAGACAATTCTGAGAGCATTTTATTTAAAGTGGACTTTTTTAAAGTTTTTTGATTTCTTTTTTTCTCTTAAACTTAAGTTTTAGTTATAGACACCCTCGTTAATGCCTTAATCATAACAAAATTGTCTTAAAATGGGCGTCAAATTAGACTGATCCGAACTTTATACACCCTCCGTTATCATGTGGTAATTAACACAGGCAGGGAAAACAAAATACCAAACTACGGACACTCTATGAGGCTAGGTTTTTTCAACACACCAAAAATAATGCGTAAAATCTTCAAAATACAAAAAATTGGGTGTATATCGTTATATGCGGCCTTGTCAAATGTTACTTTCATACAATATGTTGAACAAAGTACTGGGAAATTTCTATGAAAAAAATGCTAATATTTTTTTCATTGTTTTTTCTTCTTTTTATATATATTCGGCATATATATTGTATATACCAATTTCTCTTGTTTAGTGACTTATACTAAAATTTGATGGAGAATATTTCTATCCTTTATACCATCCTTCTAAAACGACATCTAATGGGGAAAATTGGCACAAACTCGGAATAAGATCAGTTTTAAACCTAAAATAAGTTTTCACATTTTTAAGATTTTTGACACTTAGGCTGATTTTCAAGCTTTAGTCTATTTTGGGACTTATAGTAAAAAACATTTTAGTAGAATATTCTGACCTTCTATAATCCCGTTTTAAATGGATTTTCAATCAAAGACTCCTTTAATGAGTCGACTGAGGGTTAACGTATTAGACAAAAATTGTATAATATAGTGAGATTAATTATACTTTTTGAGTCGAGCTTGATAATCTAAGTCGAACTTTGACAAATTTTGAATTTAATTCGCATATGCAAGTTTCGCATCAGGGCGGAATAAATACAAGTTATCAACGTACGATCTTTGTAAAGCCACATAGCCCAATATGCCTGATGAGCCGCTTAACCAACGGCGATACGCGTCGCATAATGGTGGGTACGTAGGTTCTTCTTCTAGTATCCAGTGGACTTGGATACTGGGTTTGTGTCATGAATTTGAATTTTGGCCAAAAACTCACGCACAATCTTCGACGTTGGTGCGTTATGATAATGGAAAATTCATGATCGGATTATTAGGGTTTGGTTTCAATGTCATGGCCATGATTTGTTCGTTATGACTTTTTTCAGGTAATCTGAATAGTTGTTGACAATGTTTAGCAGCTCCTAAGCGATGTCCATGCAACATTGTTTTTGTCAAATTTTAGCTATTTCGGAACAAACTTGAAAAATAAAAATGTGAATCGAAAAAAAGGCTGATATTACTAACACAATCCTACGAAACTTCCAAATGCGGAAAATAACGAGTTTTTGTCAGATCTCAATATTTTCCGAAAACAGTTAACACAAAGCATATTATATAAAAGATCTAATTGGCTGTTGTGTTACCAAAATAGAAGAAAAGATTCATCTTAAAGAATATAAATTGTATATATCCCATTAATTTTTAAGCATAAATTAATTGTAAATCTTGTACACTGATTGCTTGTAAAATTGCGCCCTAAAAGACAAAATGCAAAGTACTAGTATAAATCTACAGATACATTACAGAAAAATATTTCGGAACCAGTGACTTCCAAAATTCCAACAAAATAAATTATATAAACATGTAAAAAAATCTCATTTATTGCATTTTTAATTGGCAATTGCTTTCTTCATGGACTGTAATCAAAAATAATGTTAAAAAATAAATTTCTCTTAAAAATGTTTCAATCCATTATCATATCGCTCATTTGCTGCACGTTTCTTGAGTTATGCCTGGTGGTAGCATTTCTGACTTTATTTTTATATCCTCCAATATGTTCAAAATATTTTTCAACACCTCAAAATATTCAGAGGAGACCTCATAAAGAATAAAATGTACGGTCGGTTTAATATTTGCACAGAAATTGCTACTGATTGGGTAGAAATTCTTCCTACCAAATACGATCAATGATTATATTTTATGATATATGATTACCTCAAGTTTTGGAGAAGCCCCCATATTTTCTAGCCCCCATTATTGGAATTTTGGGCACGTTTTTCAACCGAATTGACTTTATATTGATATTGGGTTTAAAATCACACTACAAACAAATTGTCAATATTGGTCCGCGTTGTTGTATGGTCCCCATATAAAGGAATTTTGAATGTTCAACTCACGCTGGAACTTAACGACGTTTTTAAATTTTCAAAATATAAATATTACAGCAAAATAATTTTTCTCAATAATGTTTTTATGTATTGCAAACTCCAAACATGATATTTTTATACAGAATGAACTATAAGAAATTCTTTTTATGATCAAATTGTCGGAAATCGTCGATAATCGTCGGAAAATATGTGGTATAACAATTAAAAGGTATCGATAGTTCTCGGTTGTTACATAGTTCAAAAAAAAAGATTCACTTATGTTGTTGGCTTTATATTAAATTTGAATTCCAAACAAATAATTTTACCGACGGCAAAATTACAATTTACAATACATGCTCAAGAAGTTACGAGAGCAGTTCGAAAACTTTTTTGCCTAGCACAAAAAGCGCGATATAAACAGAAAAAGTTAAGTGTTTTGGAAACTTCCATATCGGTTAAGGACACATTTCTGACAACTCCTTCATATAGAAACAGGTGTTCAAAAAAGACGCATCCGCAATTGTTTACAATGGAAAAATTATAAATGCGTATTGTCATTAAATATTTACATAAAAAAAATATCGGGACAAGAAATTCATAATGATAACGTGAATGTGTTATGTTAAAGTGCTCCTTCATATGAAACAGTAAAAAATTGGGTTGCTGAATTTAAACGTGGTGGTAGGTACAAGCATTGAAGATAAACGTCCAAACAACCAACAGCAACAGAAATTGTAGCCAAGTGCATGATATGGTATTAAATGATCGACGAATAAACGTGCGTGAAATTGCTAATAATCTGGGCATCTCAAATGATCGAGTCCATTTAATTTTTCATGAAGAACTAAAGATGAAAAACTTTCTGCTAGATGGGTACCGCATTTGTTAACAGTCGATCAAAAACACATAATCTTGTTTAGATCTTTTTAAGCGAAATAAAATGGATTTTAAGCATCGTTTCATGACTGTTGATGAGACATGGATCCACCACTACACTCCAGAGACAAAAAAAAAAACAATCCAAACCATGGACTGAAGCTGGAGGAAGTGCCTCAAATAAGGCAAAAACAATTCAATCGTATAAATTGCTATTAACCCAGACAAAGCAAGATTTGTTCTTCAACATCATAAATTTAATTTTAAAACATACATATTTTATTAATAAATGAATAATAAAATTAAGTTTCAGAGTACCGAACAAGATAAAACAATAAAATAAAGTAATAGAAATTCACTGAAATAATGGTTGTTATGTAGAAGTGGTATTGCAATTTTTGGTATACTTCTAAAAAGACGATTGATTGAGATTGATTTCCCTAATGTTCTTCGACCTTATAAATTGATCGATTGTAGGCATATGCCTATAATTTAAATTATTAAATAATTGGAGTATAGCATATAGACTCTATCCCTTATTTTTTAACCACAAACCAACACCGTGCCCAACATTCGCAAAAACACTGTTTCGAGAAAAATGCGTTTTAGGTTTGAGGTGCACTTTTACCGTCGCAACATGCTATATTTGCAAAAGCTGTTGAGATCTTCACTTGAAATTTTAATGAGACATTCTTGAGAACTTATAGGTTCATATTAAATAAAAAAAATTTTGAAACCGGTCCTTCGTTTTAATTATTTAATTTTTTTTTTTTTTTTTTTTTGAAGTTGATATTTTTTTTTTTTTTGTATTATTACCTAAACTAAATAGTTCTTGGGAACTATTAAGAGAAAGAGGAGCATATGTTAAAATACCATAACACCAGTCAATACAAAGCGTCAACGCCTAGGGGTAAGTAAATCGACTAGGGATAAGTACATCGACTAGGGATAAGTAAATCGACTAAGGATAAGTAAATTTGAGGAAATCATAAAGTCGAATTTTC